TATGCAGGCAGTTCCTAGAGGATGAAGGAATTGATTCCATTGAATGCCCCCCACACTCGCCTGACCTAAATCCAATAGAACACCTCTGGGATATCATGTTTTGGTCCATCCGACACTGCCAGGCTGCACCTCAGACGGTCCAGGAGCTCAGTGATATCCTGGTCCAGATCTGGGAGGAAATACCCCAGGACACCATCCGTTATCTCATTAGGAGCATGCCCTGAAGTTGTCAGGCATGCATACAAGCACGTGGGGGCCATACAAACTACCGAGTACCATTCAGAGTTGTTGCAATTAAATTTCAGCAAAAATGGACTAACCTGCTGCATAATTTTTTCACTTTGATTTTCAGGGTGTCTTTAAATTCAGCCCTCTGTAGGCTGATAATTTTAATTTCCATCAAACAATGGGGCATCCTTACATTCCTAACACATTACCCAGTCCATATCAGTATAGAGATCCAGCATGAGATTTTTCCCCATTGAGATCTGATGTGTTTTCAAAACGTTCCTTTCATTTTTTTGAGCAGTGTATATTCCATACCTGTCTGATGCTCCTGGAACTCTTCCTTGCAGTGGGGCTGCACCTGCACTGCAGGGGTTAAATGTTCATTTGTGTCTAGAGTGCATGAAAAGGACTTTTATTTACCCGATCTTTTGCCAGTGGACTGTTCCACAGCATCCTCATGTTCAGTGAAGGGCTATGGGCCCTGCATCGGTGTTGATGACTTTAGAGGACCTTAGACTGCTAGAGCATAGAGGGAAGAGGCTGCAGGGACCAGTCTAGCAGCATGGAGGAGCCTGCAGGAGCTGAGAATCTACTCATTAAAAATGCTTTTCCATGTCCCTTAGGCATAAAAAAAGCATTTAACCCTTGCAGTGCAGGAACAGTCCCACTGCAAGGGAAGGCTTTTACTTTTCCTGAAGTTCAGCTTTAAATTGTAAATTTTTGTTTTGGATAGAGAGGAAAGGAGATTAGAACACCTGTCCATTTTTTTTCTTGCTTGTGTTATGCAGGCCATAGATGGGTCGAAAATCAGCCAATTTGTCGGCCGAAAAAAAAAAAAATCGGCCAATTTTCGCACCGTTAATGGGTTCATAGGTCGGCCATTTTTCTGGATTTTGGCACATTTTTTTTATCAGTAAAGTTGGAAAGAAAGTGTCCGATTTTGCCGATCGGCCGATTTTCGTGTGGCAATGATGGGCAAATTGCCCAATCTTTTTACCAATAAAAAATCTGCGCATGAGCCGTGACCTGCAAGAAAAAGAAGAGAAGAAAAAGAAGAAAAAAAGAAGAAGAGAAAAAAAGAAGCAGAATTCCAGTCCGCTATTATATTTGACATGAAAAAGTATTGCAGTTGCAACAATGTATCCATTTGTATCCGAATAAATACATCTGTATCCCAAATGGATACAAATAGATACAATGTTGCAACTGCAATACTTTTTCATGTCAAATATAATAGTGGAGCTCTCTGCAGGGACAGAAGTAATTAAATGCCAGCCGTAGACGGGACGAAAATCGGCCGATTTTTTTACTGTTGGTGGCCTATTGAATGACCGATTTTTTTTTTTTTTAAACGGCCGGTTTTTGACCCATCTATGGCCTGCAGGGAGATTCACACTGTCTAGTCTTGATTACCATTATAACCACAAGTGAAAGACAATTATTTGCTTGTCACCAGAACAGGAATAGAACGAAATCTTCCACTGGGGACACTAGTTTGGTGACCCTAGTGACAACCTGGGATTCCATTACTTTGGAGGGATTTCCTCTCATTTCCTGTTGTGACTATGGGACAGGAAGTGAAGAAAAATTTCCCCATTGGGACACAGATAGCAGAAAAAAAAAACCCAAACAGACATTATAACTCTCCCTTACTATTGAAAAAGAAAAAAAAAAAAGTTTAGCTGTGTTTCTTTAATTGACAGTTACTAGTTCATTGCAGGAAGACTGTATGACCTTTGCATGACTGTTGGTGACAATGATAAGAGTAACAGAAATATTAATAAGGGCCCATTCCCCTTGGCCCACACAGTAAACCCTGCATTTTGCTGTGCGGGGCAGCTATCAATTGAAGGTCCAGGAAGGGGTGGTGTAATTCATGTTTAAGCAAATCGCACTTTTTCCCCCAACTTTATTGAAATGTCAAAAATGAAAAACCAACAGAACAGACTTCAGGTGAGCTCCGGTGCCTTACCGAACAATGCAAACAGTATGCACCGCACACATGATCAGCACCCGCAGTGTGACCAACGCACATAGAAAACAATTGTTTTCTGTGTGCCCTTATGTTGATTCAGTGCAGCAAAACACCAGTCACCCTGCCTAGCCTTGACTATTGAAACTCCCTCCTCATTGGTCTACCTAATCGCAGTATGGTTGCCACCTCATCCCTTTAAAACAAAACACATATTAATTACACAGGTTCTGAAGCTAATTTAATGCAGATAAGGCACTAAGTTTAATTACCACCTTAATCAGCCACAGAACCTGTGTAATTAATATGTGTTCGGTTTTAACCACTTGCCTACCGAGCACTTATACCCCCTTCCTGCCCAGGCCAATTTTCAGCTTCCAGCGCAGTCGCACTTTGAATGACAATTATGCGGTCATGCAACATTGTACTCATATGAAATTTTTGTCATTTTTTTGAGACAGATAGAGCTTTCTTTTGGTGGTATTTATTCATCTCTGGGTTTTTTATTTTTTGCTAAACAAAACCAAAAACAACTGAAAATTTTGAAAAAAAAGTTTTTTCTTAGTTTCTGTTATACAATTTTGTAAAGAAGGATTTTTCTCCTTCACTGATGTGCGCTAATGAGGCTGCAGTGATGTGCACTGATAGGTGGCAGTGATGGGCACTGATGAGGAGGCACTGGTAGGTGGCACTGCTGGGCATTGACAGGCATCACTGATAGACAGTGAAAGGCAGCACTCATATATGGCACTGATAGGCACTGACTGGCACTGATAGGTGGCACTGACTGGCACTGATAGGTGTGCACTGAAAGGCAGCACAGGTAGGGCACCTGATATGTGGCATTGATGTGGCACTGGTGGCCCTGATATGTGGCATTGATGTGGCACTGATGGGCACTGACAGGTGGCACTGATGTGGCTACACTGATCATCAGGGCACACTGATCATTAGTGCCCTGATGATCAGTGTAGATGTCCCCTCTGAGGAATGCCGATTACCGGCTCTCCTCTCCTCACGAGCTGTCAGCGTGACAGCTCGTGAGGAGAGGACTGCCGATAACCTGCATTTCCTTATTTACATGCAATCAGCTGTGATTGGACACAGCTGATCACATGACAGAGCCGACACCATCAGCTCTTTCCGCTGATTGGTGGTCTGCTGTGTCCTAGGGACACAGCACACCATAAATCGCTGCGCTGCACGCCCAAGTGGTTGGAGTGGGAGGACGTCATATGACGTCCTCCCAGAATGAGAGAACCACCTTGTGCACAACATTTCCTTATATGGCGGGTGGGAGGCAGTTAAAGGGATGAGGTGGCAACCCTAAATCACAGGCTATCCCCTCTTCAGTCTACCATAAATGCTGCTGCCAGACCAAGGGGCGGACTGACCATTTGGAAACTCGGGCACTGCCCGAGGGCCCAGGGTCAGTAGGGGGCCCCATGAGATGCCCCTTTTACCTTTTTCATAGGGTTTTTTTTGAGTTTGGGCAAGGACACAGGGGCCCATGATCCCCTATTGCCTGGGGGCCCCATGAGTTGTCAGTCCGCCCCTGTGCCAGACTCATCCACCTTACTAACCGTTCCATATCTGCCATCCCTCTCTGCCAATCCCTCCACTGGCTTCCCATTGCCCAACGGATAAAATTAAAAACATTAACAATAACATATAAAGCCATTTATAACTCTGCCCCAAATTACATCACCAATCTTGTCTCCAAATATCACCCAAACCTCCTCCTATGACCTCTTACTCTCTAGCTTTCTTGTCTCCTCCTCCCATGCACACCTCCAGGACTTCTCCAGACCCTCCCCTCTGGAACTCTCTACCCCAATCTATCCGAATAGCGTATAATCTGCCCATGTTTAGGCGATCTCTGAAAACCTGTCTCTTCAGGGAAGCCTATCCTGCCTTCAGCAATAACCAAATCTTCTATTCCTCATATCAGTTCGTCCCCCACAGTTATTACCTTTTGTACCACCAGCCCCTCCCTCTTAGATTGTAAGCTCCCAGGAGCAGAGCTCTCCTAACCCTCTTGTATTGAACTGTATTGTTGCTGTATTGTCTCCTTATATATTGTAAAGCGCTGAGCAAACCGTTGGTGCTATATAAATCCTGTATAATAATAATAATAATAATAATAGTGCAGTCTCTGTAAACCTATCTTCACAGGGAAGCCTATCCTGCCTTCAGCTAATAACTAAACCTATTTCTCCCATCAATTCATCCCCCATAGTTATTACCTTTTGTACCACTAGCCCTTCCCTCTTAGATTGTAAGCTCCAAGGAGCAGAGCTCTCCTATCCCTCTTGGATTGAACTGTATTGTTGCTGTATTGTCTCACATTATATTGTAAAGCGCTGAGCAAACCGTTGGTGCTATATAAATCCTGTATAATAATAATAGTGTGAATGAGCCCTATAATAATTAATACTTTTTGTAGTGCTGATCAGATTGGTGTTGGGTTCTTGCATCCTCTTTTGTACATGACATGTAACTGATCATGAAACTTGTACTTTGCACAAAAAGTTTAAAACTAAGCTACACTGATAAGAATCTGATCTGTTTCTTCTTGTCTTGTGTGACAAAGGCAAAGATCAAAAGCATTGGCTCCTAGGACAGAGGTCAGTGGAGCTGTGCTGTGATCAGGGAGGAGCAGAGGTGGGGTGTGACTTTGGAGAGAGTAGGAAGTCAGAAAGTTCTCTGGAGAAGTCTGAGTTTCCTGCTCTGTCAGATGAGCCAGAGGAGGAGCAGCACATATGTTAGTGCAGCAACAGGCTCTTAGCTGGGCTGAGCCATGGAGGACTGTAAAACCCTGGCGTATAACATCTTTACAGTATGGCTCTCTGTGATCATCTTCATTATAATGTTACCATCTATGGTTGGCATTTCTTTGGGCATCTCAGAGGTTTACATGAAGATCCTGGTTAAAACTCTAGAGGTAAGGTTTTTGCATGTTATCAGCAGTGCTTTGTGCAGAGGAGAGCTGGCCATACACTTTGCAATCTAATCGTGCAGTTTTTCTGTAATCCCTTTTAGAGCCACTAGTGGAAGTTCTGTTTAACAATCCAACCAATTTGTATGTAATCAGGTTGGCCCTCATAGTTGGGAGATTGATCTATTTCAGGTACTTATATAGCGTCGTCAGTTTACGCAGCGCTTTACACATATATTGTACATTCACATCAGTCCCTAACCCTCAAGGGGTGTACAGTCTACAGTCCCTAACTAACATTCATACATACTAGGGCCAATTTAGACAGGATCCAATTAACCTACCAGCGTGTCTTTGGAGTGTGAGCGAAAACCAGAGTACCCGGAGGAAGCCCACACGGGCACAGGGAGAACATGCAAACTCCAGGCAGGGGGTGCCGTGGTTGGGATGAAACAAAGTGTGTTCACTCGGATTGCAATGTGCATGGCTAGATCAAAGGTGGCCAAACACTGTACAATCTCTCATTTATGATTCATTCACATTAGCCCTCTTAAGAGTGATCGGCAATGGATTGATTTTCAGAAGACATTGACAGTTTATTACAGGTACTTATATAGTGCTGCCAATTTATGCCGCATTTTACATTTATACATTGTACATTGACATCAGTCCCTAACCCTCATGGGGTGTACAATCTAAGGTCCCTAACTCACATTCATACATACATCTACTAGGGCCAATTTACATATACAGGACCCAATTCACCTGCCAGCATGTCTTGGTGAGAAGGTGTTATGTCACCTCCTCACCATTCATTTTAATCTTTAGGCTCCATGCACATGGGGCGTTTTGATAACGCTGTTAGTAAAGTCACGTTAAAAACGTGTTTTTCAGCTTTTGTTAGTGTGTTTTGCATTAGTGTTTAGCAGTGTTTTCCCACATTTGCAGTTGTGTGTTGTGTGTTTTTTTTTTTTTTTTTTTTGGGAGGGTCAAAAAAAGTCCAAAAATGCCAGATTTTTTTTCATTTAGAGCGTTTTTACAGCTAAAAAAAAATCTCCTCTAGAAACCCACTAGTCCTGGGTTTTTTTTTCAGCCAAAAAACGCTGATTACAGTCTGTGTGCATGGACACACAGGATAACAACATGCTGGGGAGTTTACTGACTGTAGAAAAAAAACACCAAAAGCCAAAAACAGCAGCTGGAAATACGTCCAGTGTGCATGAGGTCTTACCACCACTGTGACGCCAACGTTTTCAATTGAATGGGTCACGTTTGGAGAGCAGAACTGCCTACCAAACGTGACCAGTGGTTTAATTCTTGGCGCAGGAAGCATTTGGGGGAGCTCTACAGTATTTACTGCCCCCCAGCATAAATTATTATTATACAGGATTTATATATCGCCAACAGTTTGCGCAGCACTTTACAAAATGAAGGTAGACATTCCAGTTACAATACAATTTGGTACAAGAGGAAACAGTGGGCCCTGCTCATTAGAGCTTACAATCTAAGGCTAGGTTCACACCTATGCAGTTTGCGTTTGAGCCAATTCTGCATTGCATTTTGTATTTTTGCACCTGCATTTTTGTTGGGTTTTTTATTTATTTTTTTTATTTTGTTTTTTTTTGTTTGTGTTGCTAGGCAGATTAAAATCGCACTACATGCTTTTCTGCAGCGTTCCTATTAAGGTATATAGAAACAAAAACACAACTTTTTGCATTAAAAAAAAAGTCTCTGACCCTTTCCAAAAAAAGCACCAGGTGAAAATGCGGAGATGTGAACATGTCCCATAGGAAATCATGATAAATGGACTGTACTGCATTTCTGTAAAACGCTGCAGAAAATGCATAGATGTGAACCTAGGGTAAGAGAGTCCTAGGATCAGGCTACCATCAGTTTAGTAGTGCAAGGGCCTGATTGATTTGATACAAATTTGATGGCTTATTCCTGGTGATTTTTTTTTTTTTTTTTAATTGCACAGTTTTGGTAAATTTAACGCTGGCCATACTCTATACAATCTATATTAGATCTTCCATCAACTATGTAGAGCAAGAGCCTGCTGTGATGCTAATTGAATGAAATATATAGGTTTTTCCTCCTAGTACACGGTTTTGGTGAATCTATAGAAGATTGTATGACCAAATTTGTATAGTGTATGGTCATTTTAAGGCTAATCCCACACGTTACAGTCAAATCATATAATCTCCTTTAGAACTAGATTGTAAGCTCCCAGGATCAGGCCTTCCTAATCCTTTTGTATTGAACTGTATTGTTGCTGTATTGTCTCCCGTTATATTGTAAAGCGCTGAGCAAACTGTTGGTGCTATATAAATCCTGTATAATAATAATAACTTGCATCAACTGTGAAATGCAAGGGATGGCCTGACTGGATAGTTAAGGTAGGACCTCATATCACATTTTTAATGTTAGTTTTTTTTATTAATCTAAAATTGGTTGCACAAAGATTGTAACATGTATGGTGATGCTAAAGCTGCCCATAGATGGATCGAAATTCGGGACCGGCTACATTTCAATCCATCTATGGCCATACCTGTCTGAGGCGAGTCGACTTTGTGATTAAATCCTCTTGATTGGGAATGTTGGAAAATTTGTGTTCGATCAGTGCATGCAGACAATCGGCTACAGTGATGATCAGTATATTCTGGCAGCGGAGTAATCCCACAGTCATAATGCAATAACACAGCAGGAAGGATTCCTTCATTCACCTTAGAGTATACGCCCCTTGAGGGTTAGGGACTGATGTGTGTGTGTGTGTGTATATATATATATATATATATATATATATATATATATATATATATATGTGTAAAGCGTTGCGCAGATTGATGTGTGTGTATGTGTGTGTATGTATATATATATATATATATATATATATGTGTGTGTGTAAAGCGCTGCGCAAATTGACGGCACTATGTAAGTACCTGATTTAAATAAATCCATCTCCAATGTGTGATGGGGGAATTACCTATGGCCAGCTTTAGGGCTCATACACGTGATTGTCTGGTCACTTGTGAGATTTTACATTTTATGTTTTTCTTTTTTTTGTTTGTTTTCTAAACACAGCTGCCAAGTATTTTTTTTATTTTTTCATTATTAACCCAAGGCATTTAACCCAAGTAAGGGTTAAATGCCTTGCTAACAAGGTAGCACATGTAGTTGCTGACTTTGTGATCCACACCCTGCCTGCATTAAGTTCACTAGTCTGTGTATTGCAACATAGTTTTGACAGGGCACTGATTTTTTTTTTTTGATTTTTTTTTTTTTATACAAAAGCTCGGCCCCCTTGATCAGATGTCATGCCTAGATTTTTTTCAGTACCAGGGATAAACCTAAACATCACCGCTTTCTGCTGCTTTCTACTATTTATTTACTTATTATAACAAATAAAGTAATAAATAAAACATACCGCGTGACATAAACAAAAGTTCTTGCTTACAAACACCCTCATCAGACAAAGATCACAGCTTCCGCACATTTCTTCTAGCCTGCTCACAGTCCTGCTTTCCCTTTTTTTTTGCTGTTGGAATGCTTCCCACTTATGCTTCTTGCAGATCTAACCACAGATTTTCAATTAAACTCCAAATCTAAAGTAATGTGCGGTTGATTTTGAGCTGTGTTCTTGATTATTGGCTTGTTGGAATACCCTACCTTTTTTTTTTTTGTTTTGAACCACTTGCCCTCCAGATGATTTACCCTACTTCCTGATCAGGTCATTTTTTGCAATACGGTGCGGTGTAACTTTTACTGACAATTGCGTGGTCATGCAACGCTGTGCATAAATTAATTTTGTCATTTTTTTCGCCCCACAAATAGATCTTTTGGTGGTATTTGATCACCTCCTGTGTTTTTTTTTTTTTTTTGCTCTATAAACGACTGCCAATTTTGAGAAAAACCCCAATATTTTTGACTTTTTGCTATTAAACATATCCAATAAAAAAAATCTAATTTCTTCATAAATGTAAGCCAAAATACATTCTGCTACACATGTCTTTGCTAAAAAACAATCCCAATACGTGTAAATGAATTGGTTTACGTGAAAGTTATGACGGCGATCAGAAACGTCTAGCAGGACTGCGGCAGGCATTTTGAAACAGGGTGGGCAGTGACACTAATACAGTGATCAGTGCTAATAAAAAGCACTGACACTATTTTTTAAGTCCGCAAACGTGCAACTATAACGTAAAAACCCGTAAGTGTCCGCAAAAAAAGTGCAAGTGCAAGAACACCACACGAAAAACGTGCACTTAGGGGTGTGTTTGTCCTACCCCCGAAAGGGTTGGACCGTTCACCCGATCCCCCGGGGCACGAAGCTCCTGACAGGGACAAGGTTCCCATTTGGTCCTCCTGGCCAAAAGGCCTGGTGGACCACCGTTCCTTATGAGCCGAAGCCGGACATCCAGTACTAGGCAAGGGGGTTCTCCCGAAGAGAAAACAGGGTCAGGGGAGGAAGGAACCGTATGGCATCCTCCCCCTAAACTTCAGGTAAGGCCCGAGGACCCAGTGAAAAACACACACATAAGAACAGAAAAAGTGACAAAACGTGGGAGTGGTTTAAATAAATAGAATAAAATAAAAAAAGTGGTACCGTGCCTAATAGTGCACAGACCAGGCCCTGAGGCAAACCTGACACTATACTAATGACACTGGATAGGAAGAGGTTAACATCTGGGGTGATCAAAGGGTTAACTGTGTGTGTGATACATTCTGTGCTGTGTTGTGTTTATACTAGGGAGACATGCTGCACAGCAGAGAAATACAAAGCAGCATGTCTATGCTGACAGGAGAGACCTGTGTTGTTTCGCTGGCCAGGACCCGGTGATTGACATGTTCACCAGCCAAGAGCTGCACGGGTATGGCGGCACACGAGCACGCCCTACCTGGCAATGCAAATCACAAATATATACGTGACTTTGTGCATCCCTGCCACCCTGTAGCAGTACTTCTGCTTTAGGGGGGTCTAGTGGATAAGCTATTTGCTGGCTTTTTGA